CTGCACGTAGTCCGTTTCCCTGTTGCCGGCCTCTCTCCCTCTCTCTCTCTCTCTCTCTCTTCTCTCTTCTCTTCTTCTCTCTCTGCTTTCTCTTCTGCTCTCTCTCTCCTCTTTTTCTCTCTCTCCTCTCTCTCTCCGGCCCGGGGCGGGCCTCTCTCTCTCTCTGCTCTCTCTCTCCTCTCTCTCTCTCTCCTCTCTCTCATCTCTTCTCTCTCTCTACGCCTCCCTACTTCCTGCCCGCTTCTATTCCGTAGCGTAAGTTAATCGCCTTATTACACAGGCCATAACTTCTCCTTGTCCAGGCAGCTTTCCGCTGTGACAAGCGTTACACTGATATACAGCTAATATATAACACACACACGACTACACACACACACACACACACACACACACACACACACACACACACACACACACACACACACACACACACACACACACACACACACACACACACACACACAACGCTGCCGAGTAGCGTGTTACAGTAGGCCTGCCTACTCTGTACAGAAGCTCAGCATTCTATTATAGCGCATGGCGTCGGCTTGATGGCCTTTGCGAACGAGATGTCGGTTTGATGGCCTTTGCGAACGAGATGTCGGTTTGATGTAGAATAGCTGCGTGTGTGCATGCGTCGCAACTCTCGCGACTTTTCCTGTGGGCGCCTCGCATGATGGTGATGACTCAGTCTCAGTCGCGCCTGATTCTTTGTGGTAATCGTGGTGGCGAGATTTCTTTCTTGTGCCCGTATACACTGCGCGCGTGGTCCGTCTCGCATCGGCCCGGCTTACGCTGCTGGTGTGCGTGGCGGCGTCGTGCCTGGGTTACCTATATATCTGATTATAGGTGTGTCTAGACGTGTTCTTTTGTCTGCTCGTGTATCGCCCCCTCCCCCTTACTGCGGCTGAGCTACGGGCGGGCTTATATCAGCAGTGCATAATATCAGGGGTTAATAATGACAAATTTGATAATATCTGACTATAAATTGGGGATTTTCTGTGTGTGTGTGCATACGTTTCCGCACCGCTCAACGGATCCTCTCCAAACTTGATCTGAACATTCTACAGATCATGACACGTCGTTGCATGGGTTGTTTTTTTTCCACAGTTTTATTTTTTTCACATTCCACGTTCAAAAACATTTAAAAAGTGGGAAATTTTTGCACCGAGCGCGGGGCAACGTCACAACACGAAAACACATCGCTAAAGATTCTAGCTGTAGACGCCAAGGACACAACTAAACGTTCCATCATGAACAATATGGCCTACACAGAAGTTCTGACCACCTACAACGGGCATGGACTAGTATATATAATAATAGATTGTTATAGAATCTATTATTATGCACCCCTGATTACGTTATACAGCGATATCGAGCTAACACATGGCGTCACATGACACGTGGTGGGTGGAAATAGATGGGAGGGCGGAGTAACAGCTAGAGTAATAGCTGTACATTACATGCTCGCTCGCACTCGATTTCGTCTCAATCGTCTCACCGATTTGCCAACTGCTAGACTATTATTGCTGATTCCCCCTCCTCGTCCTCCTCCCCCTCCTCC